TTGATAACGAATGGACATGGTTGTATCTACGTGAATCTTCACAACTCCATACCTTGTGTGTCATGATGTATTGTCAGCAGGTGACATGGATAAGTACTCCTTTAAGGAGGGCTGTGTGGCTGGACAGGAGAGATGGGGGCCAATGGTCTGACAGGAAATGGAGTTGCAAGAAATCCAGGCCAGCATCTGGGGTTCGGAGGGTTCTAACCACATTCCTGAACAAGATGAAATGACTGTATTTGAATAAATGTAGACTTTTTAAATGCATCATGGAGACTGTTGCACATGGGTAAATGGAGGTGGTTGTACATGACAAAGTAGGAGATCCTCTGAAAACAAGCTGGACTGCATCTTTGGGAGTGGAAGCTTATTTTTGGGGTGACATGGTGGAACCACTGTACATAACAATTGGCAAAGGAGGAGGCCCTGCTCTCCCTGGGCTGGAACTGTGTGCTGTTGCTTTCAGACCGAGGCTGTGACCTATGCTGGGGAGGAGGTGGGTGAGGTGAGTGACAAGACCATAACACTTTCCTGGGATCCATGGTGGATTTTTTTTTTTTAAATGATTATGGAGTGTTTGGCTGCTATTAACCTTTGTGTTCTGGACCTCCTGCAAAGTTGTTCTGACACTTTGGCTTGTTTTTTTTTTTTTGTCTTTTTGAGACAGGTCTCGCTATGCAGTTCAAACTGGACTTGAGCTCTCTTTGTAGCCGAGGCTGGTCTCGAACTCGCAACGATCCTCCTGCCTCAGCCTCCCGAGTGCTGGAATTACAGGCATGCGCCGCCACGCCCGGTTGGCTTGGTTTTTCACTGTTCCTGGCAGTGCAAAGACTTGGGAGCTTCCTAGTTCACCATTTTTCTGTGGGTGGGGCTAGCAGGAGGCAGGGATGAGAGCTCCGAAAGATGCCATAGAGCTGTTTTCCAGAGGATCTCCTATTTTGTCATGTGCAGGCTTCTCCACCTACTCACGTACAAAAATACACATTTATTCCAGTACAGTCATCTTCTGGAACATCTTCTGGACCTCTCCAAACCCCAGTCCCGGCCTGAATTTCTTGCAGCTTCATTTCCTGTAGAACCGCTGGCCCCATCTCTTGTGTCCAGCGACACAGCTCTCCTTGAATGAGTGCTTCTTGTCACTGCCTGCTGGGAGCGCATTGGCGACACAGCTGTCAGTGATTTCACCCCCGAGAACTCCTCACCCAGGTCCCGACCTCTTGCAGGCTGGGCTTCACAGAGTTTCCATGAAATCAAGTGCTAATTGAAGACTTGCGAGACAGGAGTGGCAACAGAAGTGATGACAGTCAAGAACGCTGGGCCACACAAAAGCGACGAGAAACGGCAGGTGCAAACATTTAGAAAAGATTTCTTTATTCACATGAGTGCGTGAGGTATGTCTGCTGCAGCACACGATGTATTTAGTTATGAAGCTTCGTGTTCGACACAACCACGTCCACTCGTCACCAAGGGCGTGTGTTACTCATGTGCTGTGTCTGTACTCTGCTCACTTGGCAATAAATCTCAAGTCCAGATGTTCACACAGGTGTTTACCACTCATCCAAAGACACCTGCCTGGACATTTATAAGTATGCAATTGTAATTTATATTATCATTTATTTTAAGTATTAATGTCAATAATATTATTTATTTATATTAATTATATATCAATAGCATTATTTTATAATTTACGACCTTGTTGTGTGTTGCTACAGATGTACTAAATGTACCCATCTGGTTGATTTTTTTTGTTGTTGTT